TGAGTTATGCAATTTCTCTTTGCCTTGATAAACGTAAGGTTTTTGTGAAAATTCAATGAAGTCAGGCAGATAAAATACTTAGCATGGGCTGGTACAAAATGTTTCATCAATGGTGACTTCTGTTATCCCCAACATTGATAGAACAGTAACGGTCTCTGCAGTGGGGTGCAGGGTCAGACAGCCTACTGGGCACCTCACAAGGCTATCATGCTTTCTGGTAGCTCCTTTCTGACGTTCACTGCACAAATTACAAGGTAAAACACACAACTTGGAGATGGAAACTGACAAAAGCCCGCCATCAGAAGCGGAGTCAGCAGAGGAAATGAGGACACGTTTGCTAGGGAAAACAGCAATGCCGGTGTCAGAGAAAGCATTTCTGTCCATGGAAGGTAACCTGTGGCTTTGGAGGGATAAAACACACTTTCACAGGGAGGAAGTCAAAACATGAGTGTAATGGAGTGAAACCAGAGGTGGGAAGTGGGGGATAATTTCAAAAAAATCAAGAAATAAGCTAGAAAATCACACAGGATGAGAAATTACCCAACTGCTGTGGGAGATGAAAGTATCCCCTTCAGATGCATTTCTTTGGAGCTGGTTTTGCAGAATCAGAGGTCCCGGAATGGCCCTGGAAGCAGCCCTTTGGCCTCCTGCATCCATCCAGGACACAGTGGATGCAGAGGAAGCTTTTCTCTCTCCTCCCTTGTTCTGTCCAGCAGGAGACTTGGGGGTCTGATATCCACCCCAACAGAGATGACCACAGCTGGCTGCTGCACAGAGCCTTGCTGCTGTGCACCTGCTTTCCCAACCTTCCGCCACCCTGCTTCCTCCCAAGCCCTGTCTGTGGAAGGGTCAGTTTCTCCTCTTTAGGTCCCACGTTTTGGATAGTGTCTGAGTCCGTATGTTTTTTTTTTTTTTCCACCTGCTTGTCTGTACACTGTCTACTCATTTCATGGACTAAAGCAGGCAGAGAGGAGGACATTGCAAACTAGGCTAGTCAAAGGCTAGTGTGGACAGGGCCAACAGTGACCTCTCCTTCACTCACAGCCGTCCAAAGGCACATTCCAACACAGACCTCCTAGCTCGGCACTGGGGGCCCTGGAAGACCCCTACTTCTCTCCCCTACTCCCCTACTCTTCCTCTCCGAGGCCCTAGCCAGTCTTCTAGAAGCAGTGCACTTCAGTTGTGGCTTCAAGAACATGACCTGGGGAGTTTTCCCAAATCACCCAAGGCCAAGTCCCAGTGAGTGAGTAGGTGACTCAGCTGTTCTGGGGTGAGGCCTGGGCTCTTGCAATTTCCACAGACTTTCCTCGGCGATTCCGACGTGTGGCTGTGGAGGCTGGGAGCCACTGCTATCTGCTCTTCGAAGAAACCAAAAGGGACCCCTTCCTCCTCCGAATCCCCTGGGTACTCTGCCACCACCTTCTTTTGTCTGGCATGATCTTCAAGGTATTGCAGGGAAAAAGACTGTACTTTGGTCCAACTTCCCTGTGAGGTTTCTGACAGTGGCTTTCATGCCTTGGGGCTACCCCACAGCTGGGTAAGCTGCACATAACCACTGCAATGCCAAGTAACTCTAAAACCTGCCGATTTTGTCCTGTCTGGTAAAGGTCCAGCTTATCTCCCTCCCTTTCAGGTAGAAAAACCGGTTTTGCCTCTGATCAAACATTCCTTTCAATGAAAGGGTGTCTCTTGGCTCTGTTTTGGTAATAACATCTGCCTGGCCTAGTCAATGGCGAATGAGTGGCATGAAATCTTTAACACACAATATTTTTCTGTGAGCTGTGATTTTATGCTTTTTAGAACCATTTGTTGCAGTCCCAGCCACAGTGGCTCATAGGGGCTGCTGAGTGACATGTATAGGCACCCAGTAGCTCTTTAGCAACACTCTTGAAAAATCAGAATGAGTGGAAGCTTCTAACCTAGTGGTCTTCAAACTCTGTTTCTTGCTGATTTCCCCTGACCACAGCCCTCAGTCAGACTCCCAGCACCAGCCCCACCACTCTCCAGGAGCGCCGACTCTGGGCCAGTCGGCCAGCGTAAATGCCATCACTGGCCATGTGCCCGGACACACACCCCGCCCCCCAGCTCCCCGCACTAGGGTTTCTTAGAGAGCGGTGTCTTTCCCTGCTCTTGACCTGGAACCATTGATCCTAGGGCTGCACAAGGCCCCAGGAGACCAGATGGCTGCCCTAAGACTGAAAGTGGCCTGTCCTGGATCCAAGCCCCATTTAGGCCACTTATATGGGAGCAGTGTCTCACCTATGCAGCCAGAGTCAGGCTCCTTGTAGGTACTTGGCAGCAACTGTGTGGCTCCGGGAGAGTAGGTCACCTCTCTGTGGCTGCTTCATTACGTAAAATGGGGATAAATGCTCCATGTATGTGCCTCGCAGAAGTTGTAGCAAGGATGAAAAGAACTAAGAGTCCAGTGCTCAAAACGCCACCCAATTCCTAGGCAGCACTGTCTAAGCGTTTATAAACGTCTAAGGGCTGTAGTGTCCCCATCTGCAAGATGGGTGTGATAACAGCTTTTCACAAATTGCAAGGTCAGGAAGGAGTGCGAGCACAACCAGTTTACAGACAGGCACCCTGAGACTTGGGTCGCCTGCCTCCCCCAGCACCACACCCTTCTGAGATGACAAGGGCAGCCCCAGCTGTACTCTACAGTTTGCAAGGCCTTCTCACACCTGCATCTGCAGCTCACAACCCCAGGGAGGTGTCAATCTCATCCTGGCTGATGGATGGGGCCCTACAGCTCCAGGAGCTCACGATTTCATCCTTTCATAACCAGTCTCTGGGCAAGGGGATCTCAACTCTGGTGGTGGGTGGGTGGGGGGGTGGGTAGGTGGGAGAAATGAGAACACAGCTGTACTCCCAACCAAAAAGCTTGCCAGCAATTAAGGGGAGTGGGGGCACACTTGCTCAGCACCAAGGCAGGGACCACATCCTGTGCTTTGCCCCACCCAGGAAGTCTCTTCAAAGAGGCTGGGTAGGGTGCAGCTAAGATGCTAGGACAGTATAGTGCAAAGAGCTATCCAGACACACCCATTTACCAGCTAGGTGTCTCAAGCCCATGTCTCATCCCTTACAAGAGGAGGAAAAGAAGGCCTAGAGGGGTAGCATGTGTGGTCAGGCACCTGGCTGGTGAGTGGCAGGGCAGAGCCTGGGGCTGGGGCCCAGTGTCCCAGGGCGCCCTCTGGGTGCTGCACTGCAGATGCTCTGGGCGCTGGCAGCTTCCCAGCACTGCAGAGGCCCACCCACTCCTACCCTACCCCCAGGGCAGCAGCCCTAAGAAGCCAGGCCCTGGGCTTCCCACCCACAGTCCCCTCTTCTGCACCCACACACCCACATTCCACCTGACCACAGCTGTGGGCCTCCCCCTGACACCACAACTGTTTTCTTTATCCTAGCGGTTGGTGGCGCCTTGCGAACAAAGGGCAGAAGGCAGAGGAAGATGCCTGAGTGACAGGCTCAGCTGCACCGGCCACTGCAGCCTCTGCAGGCCCGCCTTCTTCCAGCCCCACCCAGCTTCCAGAATCCTACCAGTTGAACCCCACGTGCAAGCGGCAGCCAGGTCAGCAGATCCGCTAGATACCGGTCATCACCAAGGGCTTGGGAGAGGTAAAAGGCTTGCTGAAGGATCCTTGCACACCTAGGAACATGAGGACAGGATCCCAGGCCAGGGCTTGCTGCCTGGCTAAGCGCCTGCCAGGTTCCACAGGGGCTTGGTGGGGTGGGGTCCCCGCAATCTGAGGCATGTTTGGGCAGAGAAGGAAGGAAGAAGTGGAAAGGAGCAGATGCGAGGGTGAAAGTAGTGCTCCTTGACAAACCCTGGAGCCATATGCCCAAATTTGGAATTGTCAGGCAAGACCCACTGGGGGCTTAGACAAAGGGGGGAGGGAGGACGCCCAGGAATCCTTTTCCCCAACCCCTCCAAGCAGGGCCTGCAAGGGTGGAGCCAAATTCCCAAATCTGTAATCAACATTCCCAAACCTGGTCTCCTCCCAAGGGGTTGACAAGGAAATACATCTCCACAGCCATTCTTGATTCCCTGGAAGGGGCCTGGGGAGTTGGGAGGAGGGTCAGCTCTAGATTCAGAGGAGGAAAAAGATAAGAGAGAGCCACCAGCTCAAGATCACACCCCAAAGTTGGGATGCAGGGTGCTTCACTCAGGTGCTAGTGTTTGGGGGACACTGAAGCCTCCAAGTCTAGGCAAGGCATAGAAATGTGCTTGGGAGGAGGCAGAAAGAAGAGGGGGCCCCGGATCCCCATAAGAGCCCCTCACAGGCCAGCAGTGTTCAGTAGAGTCATAAGGAGGTGGTCCTGCACACATAGCACACTCCCCCAACACTGCACCACACACCAGCCAAGTCGGACGGACGCCACCACTGGAGGGCCGGCTCTTCAGACCCCACCTTTGGCCATGGTCATTCTTCCCTAAGGGTCCTTGCCCCGACGTCCAGCCCTCAATGCGCCTTTAACTCCTTAGTGTTTGTTCAGTGGGCCCACCAGGCCGCTGCCCTGGAGCCCCTTCCCTCGACCACACCCTCGGCGGAAGCGGGACTCCCCTTGGCTCTGCTGTCCCTCACCTCCCTTCCCCCGCCAACCAGCCAGGACGCTGACCGTCGGCGGCCCGAGGTGAGCTTCACCGCGCGCCGCCAGACACACCCAGCCCGCGACACCCTCGACTGACGGCGCGCTCCGGCGCCTCGGAGGGCCCCGACCTACCCGCAGCCCCTTCCCGGGACCCGGCCGGGGTCAGCGACCAGCCGATGACTGGGCGTTGGTCGCTCGTCCCCGCTCCCCTGCAGCCCCGGGAGCAGGGTGCCCTTGGGGCGAGCCCCTTTCCCCGCCGGCCCTGCACTCACCGCGCGGCGGAGGCCCTGGAGGCGGACGGACGCACGGATCGCGGACGCGCAGCTCGCTGGGTCGCAGCCCGTTAGCCGAGCAGCAGGAGCAGCCGCAGCGCAGGGGCGGGCCGGGCGGACAGTCGTGGGCTCCACGCCGGACACGTGGCGCGCGCAGGCCAATCCCGCTCGGCCGCCTCTCCCCCGCCCCCCACCCCGCGTTCCTTGGCGCCCGGGATGTTAGAATGTCACCAGGCCGGGGCTGCTTGCGTGTGTCCTCAGACCCCGGACCTGAGACTGGAGAGAGCACAGGGAGGTTTGGCCAAGCTCGTGTGGCTATCGCTGAGGTAAAAGCCGGGGCTCTCAGTTCCAGACGCCAATTCCAGATTGCTTTCTCCTCCAAATTCCTACAACTTGCCAAAGCTTAGTTGAGAAACAGAAAATCTAAGCTTGCCAATACTGAGGCCCCAGGCAACTTATCTGTCTGATCAAATTCCATTCCTCAACAACTCTGTCAGGTCAGTGACATTATTTTCTCACTTTTTGGAAGAGAACCTGGAGAAGTCCAGTTCCTTGACCCAGGTTACGGGTCGTAGGTCGCGGAGAGGAGCTGTGAATGTGGGCCTGGTGATTTCAGCTGCTGCTGAAGGGAGATGGGTGGGCCACTTGGAGGCAGGCAGGCAAACAGACTCTAGCCGTTGTGGTCAGGATAAAGGATGCGCTCTCTGGCATCCAGAGAATACAGAATTGTTGCTCGGGTTTTGTAAGACTTCCTGGAGGGGGGAGAAGCTGCCCTAGAGGTCCCGTTTCTGGCACCTCAGAAATGTTACTTGGGGCACAGATGGAGGGGGTTGCCCCTCACTGCTGAGTCTCAGGATGTTCTAAGGGACCCTTCTGATTTTCAGTCTGCTTAATTGAAAGACAGGATGTTGGAAATTGCTTCCGGGTTGTCCTAGGACCCTATCCCTGGTTCATAATTGGAAGGTCAGTCCTTCCACTCTTCCATTCTTCCAACCAGTATTTATTGAGCACCTGCTGTAAGCTAGCCCTTGAGCTAGGAGGATGGAAGTGAACACGTGGGAACTGGGGCGGGTCTTCTACTCTGGGAGACCGATGGCTGTTTCCAGGTGTTGTGTGTGGAGACTTCAGAGGGCTGGCCCTGCAGTGACTTAGGGGACCCCAGGCCTGTGAAGCAGAGAGATGTTGAGTTGTAGCCAAAAGGGTGTGAAGACTGTAGTGGGACAGTAAGAAGTGAAAACGATTGTCCTAAGTGAAACTCAGCCGTGGGTCAAAGCCATAGCTTCAGACATGGGGTAGGACAGGACCTGTGGATGCGGGCGGAGTCTCCTGCAGCACCACCACAGTAGCTGCCACTCCTTGAACCTGACACTGTTCCTGGAAATGCCCGCATTTCATCCCCGCAGTTCATTTAATAAATATTTATGCAGCAACTACTTTGGGCCCAGCCACTATTTTAGGAGCCTTATCAGCACACGAAATAAACATCTCTGCCCTCGTGCAGTCTGCATTCTTTTTTTTTTTTTTTAAAGATTTATTTTTATCATTTTTTTATTGGAAAGGCGGATATACAGAGAGGAGAGACAGAGAGGAAGATCTTCCGTCCGATGATTCACTCCCCAAGTGAGCGCAATGGCCGATACTATGCCGATCAGAAGCCAGGAGCCTCTTCCGGGTCTCCCACGCGGGTGCAGGGTCCCAAGGCTTTGGGCCGTCCTCGGCTGCTTTCCCGGGCCACAGGCAGGGAGCTGGAAGGGAAGCGGGGCCGCCGGGATAGAACCGGCGCCCATATGGGATCCCGGGCGTGCAAGGCGAGGACCTTAACCACTTGCGCCACCACGCCGGGCCCCAGTCTGCATTCTTGCAAATGAAAAATGAATAGCAGGCATATAGTAGGGCAAGACACTGGTGGTGGGAGGGCTTCCAGAAGTGTTTCTAGGAAAATGATGTGAGAGCTCCATAAACTTGTTGATGCCTCCTCCCATGTTAAGCGACCCATGCTGTGCACAAGAAGTGAAAGCAGACAGAGTCCCAGAGTGACGGAGGTTGTAGTTCTATGTTGGGGTTGTATGATGGGTTGTTGGCAGAGGTCTCACTGGGATGGTAAAAATCTTCGCAAAGATGTGGAGGGAATTAGGAGTTAGCAGGAAAAGCGATCTGTGGAAAGAATGCTCAGCCACAGAAACAGCCGGAGTGGAAGCTCCACTGTGGGGAGGGGCCTTGGGGCTCGTGGCGGGGAGCTGAGCAGAGAGCTGTGACCAGTGCCTCCTCAGCGCGGTGCAGCCACTGGCTCTACCAAACCTGTTTCATCCCTCCCCAAGAGAACCCCATGCCTGTGAGGCAGTCCCTGCCTCTTTGGACTGTCTTGAGTCCTTGGTCACCCTGACTTGCTTTCTGCCTCTGTGGATTTGCCTGTTGTGAACATTTCGTGTAAAGGAACTCGTACCCTCTGTGTCCTCTGGGTCTGACTCCTTCCATTGGGCGTCACGTCTGACATTCACCCACTGCACCGGGAGTCAGCGTTTCCTTTCCTTTAGTGGCTTGAGTGACTTTCCCCGACACACAGAGTATGTGGCCCTCATCCGGCCACCTGTTGGTGGACATTGAGTTTACCTCTGCGTCTTGACTGTTGTGAAGACTAAACTCCTGTGTACACTTGTTTGAGAATGTTTTCTCAAAGTTCTCTTGTGTATGTATGCAAGGGTGGAATTACATTTAGCAAAGGGTCATTTGCTAACTCCAAGTTTGACTTCAAGTAGCTGTCAAACTCTTCTTCACAGTAGAAACACCATTTTGTGTTCCCACCAACAGCTTAACGGGGTTCTAATCTCTTCACATCCTTGACAACATGCAAATTTAGTTTTTTGGTTTATTGCTGTCCTAGTCATTATGAAAGAGTATCTAACTAACGGTGGTTTGGGTTCCCTCCTGACTAGTGTTATGGAACATCTTTTCCTGGTTTTATTCACTGGTTTGTAATCTTCTTTGGATAAATATCTATTCAAGTCCCTCCCTCATTTTTTAATTGAGTTACTTATCTTTTTGTGTTGTTGAGTTGTAATATTTCCTTATGTATTCTAGATAAGATTTGTTAAAAAAAAAAGTGCTTGATTTGGAATTAGCACTATGGTGTAGCAGGTAAAGTGGCTGCCTGTGACACAAGCTTCCCATATGGGCACTGATCTGACTCCCAGATGCTTCCTGCTAATGCGCCTGGGAAAGCAGTGGAAGGTGGCCCAAGGTCTTGTTGTACCACTGCGCTCATGTGGGAAACCTGGAAGAAGCTCTGGACTCTTTCTTGGCTTCAGCTTGCTACAGTCCTGGCCATTGTAACCATTTGGGGTATGAATCAGCAGATGGAAGATTCTCTCTCTTTGTAACTCTAATAAATAATTTTTTCAAGGATGGAAGAGATAGCAGTTTATTTGTATGCTAATGGGAATGACCAACTGGAAAGTGAAAATTGGATATATAAGAGAAAGGAGAGAGTTACTATGGCACTATTTGGAAAGAGAATGGGGTCTAGTGTTTGGGCATGGGAGCTGCTGGCACTCTTAATTTGCAGTGAAAGTAACTCAAGCTCAGAGAAATCACTGCTTTTGTTCAATTCTAAACCAACTGACTGAGTGAACTGGAACCCAGACCCTCTTGAAAGCAAAGCCCGGGGCCTAAATCCCTGAGCCGCAGTAGTGAGTAGGAATAAAGCACACTGCTTGTGCTCTTGGAGCTGGTGGTCCCACCTCTAGGAATCAGTCCTAGGAAAACATTTTGAAATTCAGAGAAAGCTCTAGGCCCAATACTGCATATTTGAAGTACAAAAAGGAAACAGGCCATGTTGTAGAATAGGAGGTAAGCAGGTGTCCCACGGCCTCCTTGCCTGTGTAAAGAATAACCCTGCAGGAAAACAAACATTCCAATGACTTCATCTTTTTTGGCAGTGCCCCAGGCACCATCCTCCACACAGTGACACTTGCAGAGGTGTCTTTGTGTGAGTGTGTGGTGGGGACATCAAGGGCAGGGAGAGAGGATGTGACATCATAACTCAGGCAGGTCAAGGGCCTGAGATTCCGGTGTGTTCACCTCCTGTTTCTGGTTCTGGTTCAGAATTGCTAAGCAGACTCTAGAAAAGCAGGACATGGTGAGCTACTGCCACCTATCGGCGGGCTGTAGGTCTACGGGGCCTGCATCCACAGGTGTGCACTGTCTCTGAGAAAGGCTTTGGGCTCCTGCTCCCCAGAGGAAGCAGCGCCAAGGGATTCGGCTTATTGCTCACGGGAAGCCCTTATTCCTCTGGGACCATGAGAAAATGAGGCATTTCCAACCACTCGGCAGGGAGCAGTCTCAGCAATTTGGGGACACTTAATTTTTGACATAAAAAGGGGGTGGACAGATGGAGAAGCAGTATGCTTTAAAAAATTACACAACTGGGCCTTCGCGGTGGCCTAGTGGCTAAAAGCCCTTACCTTGAAGGTGCCAGGATTCCATATGAGTGCAGCTCTACTTCCCATCCGGCTCCCTGCTTGTGTCCTGGGAAAGCAGTCCAGGATGGCCCAAAGCCTTGGAACCCTGCACCCATGTGGGAGACCCGGAAGGAACTCCTGGCTTTGGATCAGCGCACCTCCAGCCATTGCAGTCACTTGGGGAGTGAATCATCGGACGGAAGAGCTCCCTCTCTGTCTCTCCTCCTTTCTCTCTATATCTGAATTTGCAATAGAAATAAAATAAGCCTTTTTTAAAAATCACAGAACCACATTTCAAATAGTTCTCCATGTTATAAAAATAGTAAGCCTTCACTGTAGATAATTTAAGGATGACAAAGCTGTAATTCTACCATCAAAAGCACTTGGCTAATGTATCATTTTTAAATTATATAACAATATCAACAATGATAGAAGCAGCACGCTTAGACTCTTATTTACAGAAGAAAGAAAAATAGGAAGTTATTGGTAATATTAATTTGTCATTTAAAAACTTAACTTTGTGGCTGGCATTGTGGTCCAGTGGATTAATCAGTGCTTGGGTTAATATCACCCCATATCACAGTGCCTGGTTCAAGCCCCAGCTACTCTGCACCTGAAAGGTAGGTTTTACGGAAAGAAAGATCTTCCATCCACTGGTTCATTCCCCAAATGGCCACAACAGCTGGAGCTGAGACAATCTGAAGCCAGGATTGAGGAGCTTCTTCCGGGTCTCCCACATGGGTACAGGGCCTAAGGACTTGAACTGTCCTCTGTTGCTTTCTCCGGCCATAAGCAAGGAGCAGGGTGGGAAGGATTGCAGCTGGAACTTGATCTGGTGCCCCTATGAGATGCCAGTGCCAAGGGTAGAGGCTTAGCCTGCTGTGTCATGCTGCCAGCCTCTATTCTATACTTCTGATCAAGCTTCCTATGAATGAGCCCAGGAGGCTACATACTTGGGTTCCCGAAACCCACATGCAAGCTCCAGATGAAATTCCTGGGCTCTTGTCTTCACCCTGGCCAAGTCCTAGCTGTTTGGGTATTTGAGCAGTAAGCAAGTAGATGCACAGTCTTTCTCTCTCTATCTCACATTCTGCCTCTCAAATATTATTGGAAAATCAGGTATACAGAGAGGAGGAGAGACAGAGAGGAAGATCTTCCGTCCCATGATCCACTTCCCAAATGACTTAAATGGCTGGAGCTCAGCTGATCTGAAGCCAGAAGGTTCTTCCAGGTCTCCCATGTGGGTATAGGATTCCAAGGCCTTGGGCCGTCTTTGACTGTTTTCCCAGGCAGGGAGCTGGATGGGAAGCAGGGCTGCCGGGATTAGAATCGGCACTCATATGGGATCCCAGCGCATTCAAGGTGAGGACTTTAGCCACTAGGCCACCGCACAGGACCCTAAAATAAATGTATTTTAAACAACTGTTTAGTATGAACATCCTTTTTGTGTTAAAAAAAAAAAAAAGAAAAACCTTGGTCTTCTTCAAGGCATCTTAAATAGCTGTCCACTTCCATTGAAAGGAAATAGCACATTTAATTTCTCCGTTTGCCTGTTTTGGAGTATCTAGGTTGTACAGATCAGCAAGGTTTTGAGATTGTTTCCTAAACCCTGGATTCCAAATGCAATAGTCACGTATGTTCCTAAGATTTTGATAAATACTAGCAAATTGTCCTGCACTGACAGGAGATTGCTTTATGCTCATTTGAATGTAAAGAGGAAGTCACTGACTCTGAGTCACTAGGATGCAGTCATGCCTCACTTAATGATGGTGATACGTTCTGAGAGAGGTGTTGTCAGGGCATTCCATCATTGTGCAAGCATCATGGAGTGTACTAACACAAATCCAAATGCTGTAGCCAGTCACACAGCTAGGCCGTGCGGCACACCTTATTGTTCTTAGATTACAAACCTCTGTGGCATGTTATGGTGCTGAATACCATAGGGGATTGTAACACAATGTATTGCTTCATTCTTGTTTTCCCCCTTCTCCTTTTTTTGAAAGAATTTCGGAAGAAAAGAGGGATATCAATTTTCTGGAGTTGAGCCAGGTCAAAGTCAGAAGCCAAGAGCTTCTTCTAGGTCTCCCATGTGGATGGCAGGTGCCCAAACACTTGAGCTATCTTCTACTGCTTTTCCTGGGCCATTAGCAGGGGGCTGGGATGGAGCTGGTGTCCATATGAAATGCCAGCAACTCAGGAAGCTACTTTACCTGTTATGTCACAATGCTGGCCCCTTAATTTGCCTCTTTTTTAGTGATAGATTTGCTGGTAAGCAGATAATACACCATGAACATTCTCTGGTGTTGAGGTCTATGTTTGCAAACTACAAAAAAATTACATTGATTTGAAAGGTAAAATGACCAAGAGAGCAAGAGAGATAAAGAGAAGAAAAGAGATAGCCACATTGAGAGATCTTCCAGCTGTTGATTCACCAGATGACTACAACAGCCAGAGCTGGACCAGGCCAAAGCCGGGAGTCCAAACTTCCACCTGGCTGTCTCATATGAATGGCCATCAAGTGCTTGAGCCATCATCCACTCTGTCCCTGGTGTGCCATTATCAGGAAGCTGGGTCATAAGCTGAGCAGGGGTCAGACCCTCAGTCTCAGAGATGTGGGAGTTGGGCATCCCAAGCCATGTTTTAATGTGTTTACTGTGTCTTTATGGCTGTACCAAAGCTTGCCCCCAAATTTTCCAACTTTGTAAGGAACTCATTGAAGTCTGTGAAGTTCTTGCTAACAACTGCATTGTGAATTTTTCTAAGAGTAGGGCAAAGTTGGGGCGGAAGAGTCATCTTTTTCTTTCTGCTACAGTTTCCATTTCTCTCGTCTCTTTTCCAGCTGTGCTTCCTGTTCTAGTTCCCACAGCCCCTCACTTGTCAGCTCCTTAGGGTCCACCTCCTGGAGTGCTTCAGTGTGGTGTTCATGCACACCCAGGGTCATGTTGTTTGCCACCTCAGCTACAGACAGCTCTGTTGGGTTTTGCAGCCTCTCCCTCGGCCAGCCCTTTGAAGTCGCAGGCATATCTCTTGAGTGTTTTCTTTTAAGTCCCATTCACACATTCCTTGGTGATATCACCCCTAGCCCAGGCAGTGTTCTTCATGCAATCATGGATGTTCTCATCCTTCCTGAATTGCACCAATGCATTCCTCATTTGTACCAATAGCCTGAATCAAGGTGCTCCTCAGCTACTGGGCCTCACAAGCTGCTGGAACTCTGTCATCCATGGGTTGGATCAAAGAGATGGTATTTGGGGGTGGCAGTGGGGAATAGTGCTTGATGTAGACATGAAGCTTGCCAGCAAGGGGAGGTGATGCAGGCCAGATCAGTCGGCAACAGCAGGACACACATACTCATCCAAGCAATATTTCTCCACTTCAACTGCAGAGCAATTCAGGAAGGCGTCTTAGAGGAGGAGCTGGGTCAACGTTTTGTTGCTCCTGTAAGGCACAGGCAGTGTGTGACATGTGACATGCTTGAAGTCTCTGCCTGGGTGTCCCCTGTGCCACGTCACAAAGGGTTTCATTTTGCAGCCTGCTGAATTGCCCTCAACGCTGGCACCTGGCATTGTGTTTTCTATGTCCATTTCCCTGGATGATGAGGTTGTACCCGTACTGAAGATGTGCTATAGTGAGAAATTTTTCCCTGCAAGGCTGCTTTACATCAGCCCCTAAAGACTTGCCAGTCTCTTCACATTATCTGGGGAACATGATTCTTGAATTGTGGAAGCCACTCAGAGCTTAGTGGTAAATTCCAGTTCGTGGTTGCATCCAGAGTTTTCTTTCAGTGGCACAAGCTTCTGCTTTGGCCAAGATGAGCAAAGTGGAGTGAGATGTTTCTGTGTTTGGTCTTTAATCTAGGTCATCAGAAGGTTCTCTGTACCCATCTAGCCCCTTCTCAAGTGTTTCCTAGTTGCATTGCTCAGTAATGCTGATCCTGTAACAGCTTTTGTCACCTTGATCTTGTTGGTCAAGCTTATGGCTAAGGTGGAATGGGATGTGCGTCCTTAGCCCCTCGCGGATTTCCCAATCTTCCTGGGCCTTTATCACTTTTTCACTTTGTTTCTAGGTCAACCTCCTGATGGCAACATCTGCAGTGGCTTTTGTGCACTCAGGGACCGTGATGACCAAAGCAACATAAGATTAAATCAGCACAAGAAGAAGATGATGCAATCGAGAAACAAAGTAAGCACAGAATGGATGAGAGGACTGCTGGCTAACATAGCACCCTGTTTTATAGCAAATTATTTTTACAAGTAGAAAGAGTATGTGCTGAGGATAAAACATGCAATATAGTAAATACAAAAGTCAGTTGCTCATTATCATTACCAAACACTGCGTAACTGCACGTGACAGACCTTTATACGTCTGGCAATGCAGTAGGCTCGTTCTCATCAGAGTCGCCTCTGACACGTGAGGAATGCCCCGTGATGTGATGTGATGACAGCCACAGCCGTCTCTGGGAGATAGGAGCTTTTCAGTACATTATCATCCAAGGGGCCCACCACCAGACTTGCCCCTGCGTCCCACTGCTGACCACACCTTTGTCATGTGGTATGCGACTGTTTACCACGGTCCAGGACACATGGTAGCATCCACTGTTCCTTCACAATCAAGGGGTACAGACAGGTCCTGCGATCTTATCTCAGAAATGTGGAGGCTAAACCCAGGGAGCCTCCACGACTTGTCCCGGTAGCATGGCCCTGAACTCTAACTGGAATTCGAGTTTCCAGACTCCAAATCAGGCTGTCCCTTGAATCTCACAAACAAACTCATTGCTTCAGCGTTAATAGCACATGGAGATTCTCACGGGTTTGTCTGGATGTGGGTGACCTTCCGGGCAGAGCTCTGGTTCCACAGTTGACCCTGAACTCCATAAGAAAAGTTCTGGAAAGGCCAGGTGGGGTCCCTGTGACACTGCAGGTCTGAAAGCTGCTGCCATTAGAAAAACCAGGGGAAGACAGTATCTCACAGCACAGTCTATAAATTAAGAAGCAAATAAACAAAAAGCATGGGGTTTCTGGTTTTACCGCATTCTAGCCGAGTGACCATGAACTGCTGCTTGCTTCTTTTTTTGAAATGTGAGTTTCTATTTTCTCAGGTATATTACAGGAGACTTCCAAAGGTATCTGTCTTAAGAGATTACTGTGGGGCTTCACCGATCCCACTCATTTATAGCAACTAGCTCAAAACAATAAAAATAAACTAAATGGAAAGGGTCCACATTTATTCATAGTAAGGTCTGAGATTAGTTCTGGCTTCTGGGACCTCATGCTCAGCTTTGCCTCTGGACAGTAGGAAAGAGGGATCTATGTCACCCAGTCCCCTTTGGTCTCCCTGCAGGGGTTCCGCGTCTCTGGCACCCTCAGGTTCCACTGACCCATGGAGGAGTCTGTGTCTGGTTTTAATATTCTTGGCTATTAAGATTCAATGTTCTATAAGACGCTCTAGGATTCCAAGACAGCCTGACTCACTCTTGAAAGATTCCATTTGCACATGGAATTCTGTCTGCCTGAAACTAAGTCCTTTCTCCAAGCTGGACTCACTCCTGCTAGCTCTTCCTGTGGCTTTCTCCCTCAAAAGCATTTCCTAGAAATTCCTTTCTCATCTGCCCTCTGCCCACCCTGTGTCTTGGTCAGCCTGGAATCCTGTTCTTTTCGCTTATGGCACGGCTCCCAAGTAGTAATCATATTTTTATTGGTGGCCTCTGCTCGTGCCTGTCTTCTTCATGACCCCATTCTTGGCAGAGTAAATGCTCAGTCAATATGTGATGAGTGAAAAAGCAAACAATCAATCAGTCTTGTTCATTCCCAAGGTCTCAGTCCCAGAGACTCCCCCCACCCCACCCTTGCCCCACCTCAGGGTTGGCACCTGGGAAGGAAGCCAAAGATCTCTTCGTACAGTGAGATAGCTTGTTGTGCTTCTAAGGCTTTTGCAGACCTAAAAGGCTTCTCTGAGCTGGAAATCAAGGCTAGCATTTAAGCCCATCCAGCTGGGACTCATGTCATGGTTTGGAGAGAGTGGAACTTTGGAAGAGAATTGAACAAATCCTGGCCCTTCCACTTACTGAGAAGATTTAACAGGCCTAAGTCTGTAAGACTCAGTTTATTTGGGAGCAAAATGGGAAAACAGTAATTTCAAAATTATAGGGTAGTTTTTTAATTTTTAAAAACATATGTATTTTTTTTTTTTATTGGAAAGGCAGGCTTGACAGAAAGAAAGATCTTCCCTCTGTTGATTCACTCCCCAGGTGGCCACAACAGCTGGAGCTGAGCTGATCCAAAGTGAGGAGCCAGGAGCTTCTTCTGGGTCTCCCAAATGGGTGCAGGATCCCAAGATTTTGGATTATCCTCTACTGCTTCCCTAGGTCATAAGCAGGGAGCTGGATAGGAAATGGAGCAGCTGGGACACAAACCAGTACTCATACTGGATCTCAGCACTTGCAAGGGGTGGATTAACCAATCAAGCTATCACACTGGGTCCTATAGGGTAGTTATATAGATGGAATGTTCGTGTGTGTGTGTGTGTGTGTGTAAAGAGCCTGCTCCATACATACTTGATAAAAGGCGCATTATGACCTTGATGTTAAAGATCCTGAGGCCATTCTTCTAAGGTTACATACCCTTAAGAATGGGTGTTGATTCCTAGGTTTTTGGACTTGAAGCATCTTTTGCTAACCACAGTGGATGATTTTAGGGCTTTCTTATGGAAGGGCTTGAAAGATTTGTAGCCCAGCACTTGATAGTGGGTAGATTCCCAGGGAACTGAGTCAGATGTGGAATAGCTGGGACTTGAACCTGTGCTGGCATGGCTGCTTAACCCACTGCCCCACAATGCCTGTTCCTCATTTCTTGTTTTTAATAACATTGACTTTTCAGGATGTCAAGGAAGGGTTTTTCTATCCATAATCTCTCTACTGATTGGCTTGGTGTTTGTTTTTACTTTTTAAAAAAGATGTATTATTTTACTTAAAAGTCAGTTAGAGAGAGAGAGAGAGAAGGAAAGACAGAGAGATCTTCCATCCACCATTTCACCCCCTACATGGTCACAAAAGCTAGAGCTGGGCTTGTCCAAAGCCAAGAGCCAGGGGCTTCCTCCAGGTCTCCTATAGGGGTGCAGGGGCCAAAGGCCTTGGACCATTTTCCACTGCTCTTTCAGGGATCCAGCAGGGATCAGAGATCAAAGTAGATCAAATTGCAGCAGCTGGGACTCAATCTGGTAACCATATCAGATGCTGGCACTATGGATGGAAGATTAACCTGAAATGCTACCGCATCAACCCTGATTGACTTTTTTTTAAGATTTATTTATTCTTATTGCAAAGGAAGATTTACAGAGACAAGGAGAGACAGAGAAAGATCTTCCATCTGCTGGTTCACTCCCCAATGGCCACAACAGCTGGAGCTGAGCTGATCCAAAGCAAGGAGCCAGGAGCTTCTTCTGGGTCTCCCAAATGGGTGCAAAGTCCCAAGGCTTTGGACTGTCCTCTACTGCTTTCTCAAACTACAGGAAGAGAGCTAGACGGGAAGTGGATACAAACTGGAACCCAAATGGGATCCTGGTGCATGCAAGGCAAGGACTTTAGCTACTAGGCTACCACGCCAGGCCCCTGATTGGCTTATTTTTAGACTTGAAAATCTCTGATTTAGTTCAATCTTTTTATTTTACATGTGAGGAAACTGAAACCTGAGCCAGTAGCATCCCACGGATTGCTTCTGATTTGGTGACAATGACAACTGCCATGATACTCAGTGAAGGCTTCTAGACGGGGCTCTGTGACTCCTGCATGCGATGATACATGGCAGCATGTTGCTCAGGGCCTGGCTGCCCAGTGAGTTCAGTGATAACCATATCCATCATCAGCTTGAGACCAAACTGGGCCCCTTATGTAAGCTTGCCCAGGTGGTCATAACCTGGGAGCATTAGAGTTGGAGATGTCTTGTGATGGCTCCCAGAAGGCCTGATAGCCACTCAGTGACAGAAGGTGAACCCTTCTCCCCACCTTCTAAGGAAGGTGTATTTATAGCAACACTTGTGAATCAGGGTTTTCAGTGGGCCCCGTGAGAACTGGGCTAGAATAGGTCTAGCTCTGGAAGCCAACCCTTGGTCAGATTTCAACTCCAGTCCCAAGCAGGAAGGTGACTAGAGTCCAGAGACTTCCTCCTGACAGCTGCTCCAACAGCCTGGCAATTAGAACAATCAAACAAGCAATACAATCAGGGGGGCCTCCCAGCTCCTCTCTTATTCTACACTAGTAGTTCTTGGCAGGCAGAGTCACTCTTCACTGGACAGGCTCAAGAATTCCCATGGAATCCAGAGTCAGCCAGACCTGATGTTGTATGTTCCAGGTCTAGACCTATGTGCTAGGTCTCTGAACCTTTGGGACAGCACCTTTGGGAGGGGAACTCCACTTCCACATGGGAAGAATCAGAATAATCCTAACTTTGCAGTATTCAATGGTTGAAATAGGGAGATGAAACAGAAGGGATGGCAATGTAAGACTGTCACTGGTAACTTTGGTGTAGCTAAGTATTGAATCTTATGTACTAGAGAATCGAATCTTAAGGGGAATTTAGAGCATGTTCTAGGCAAGTTTTTAAATATCAGGGGTAGCTTGGATAGCACAGTGTGTAGAGTCCCCTTCGTAGGCCATAGTCAGTTCTCCTCCTCAGAATGGAATCTCCTTAAAGGTTCATGCATGGCTGTTTACTCCACAATTGTTTATTTTCGCTAAGGCAGTAAATTAACCTATATACTCCACAGTAAGGAGATTAATCATGGAACTTCCTTACCATAAAATACCACGTAAGTCATTGGAAATGTCAGTTCACATGTGTTTATTGACCTGGAAAGGTAACCACAACATATTCCAAAGTGAAAATGTAGATGATTAAAAGTGCCTGTTGTTCCTTTAAAAAAATATTTATAGTATTTGTATTTGGAAACCTTAGAAAATATGCTTCAGACTGAGAGTAGACTCAGATTCCTTATTGGGCAACACAAATACAGAACATTTCCATTGTCACAGAAGGTTCTATTGGGAAAAACTGCTCTACAAACCCAGCCCCAGATAATTCTTGCTCATGGCAGCATTGCACATGCAAGGCTCTGACCCAACATTGTCTTGTTAAAAGCACTTTGTTTTTTTTTTTTAAGATTTTATTTATTTTTATTACAAAGTCAGATATACAGAGAGGAGGAGAGACGGAGAGGAAGATCTTCCGTCCAATGATTCACTCCCCAAGTGACTGCAGCAGCCGGTGCTGCGCCGATCCGAAGCTGGGAACCAGGAACTTCTTCCG